ATATATATATATATATATATATATATATATATATATATATATATATATATATATATATGCCATATATGAAATAAAAAACATTTGCTGAGGGCATCATCTCTGAAGACATGGCTGCGTTAATTACTATTATTCGCGCCCAGTATTATCCTGGTTCTTTCTATACACATTTCATACCAACGGGAGCTTTTGGGAATGACACTTATAAATTTATGACGAATATATACTTTTTCGCGAGATTCTGGTTGTTACGGGGTAACTTTCTTTGGCGTTAATACCTGGGTGAGAAGGGGGCGGAGTTCTGGGGAAGAGGGGAAAGGAGAGTTAGTGTAGTAAGGGTAATTTAGAGTGTAGGCTAGAGTGAGAGAGGTTCGGGCAACCCTCTCACTCTTACCCGAACATCAGATATTCTCCTTGGGCTTTCTCCTCTCCCTCCAACACTTTTTACATCCCTCCCAACACACATATGTGTGTGCATATAGGAGAGAACACTTTACATTGACCGTTTTCTTGACGTTGTAAAACCTTAGGAGGACGGGTTGGATGAGAGAAGATCCGCTGTGTGACAAAGAGGCATTGCTAAAGTAAAGATGAGTGTGGGGAGGACAAAAGAGAATGTGTCGATGGTTAGTGGGAAAGAATGGGCCAGTAAGGTGAGAGAGGCATGAGAAGATAAGATGGGAGAGGGTGTTGAAGTGTCAAGGTGCCGAGAGAGGGGAGTGCCAGGCTGAGATACGAGACTATCAGGCGGCACTCTGTGCCTGCCATTTATAGCACCACCTGACCACTTCCTATGCTCCCATGGTTTTTCTTGAAAATGAAGGATATATATATATATATAGGGGGGTACCACCACTGGTGTAATTATAGGGACCCACAGCCTCAGAGAAGGGAACACAGAGCACTCAGGGAAAAACTTGACATTTAACTCTGAATACGAAAGAGTGTTCACTTCTCCTACCACCCCCTTTTTTTTTTATTATGATGTACACTTTATTATGCAAGGTTATACAGTTACATATCTGATTTTATACAAAAAATGAACATTAAGAGGACACAAGAAAAAGTTCGCTTCCTAGAGGCTGTAGATTTCCTCGAACTCCTCCGACGCCGGGCAGGAACCGAGGATGCAGCGGGCATTTCCCCTCTGGATCGCGACACTGAGGCGCTGAAAGAGAAAACTTGCTGCTCTAGGGTCTCTTGTGGTGTCAATGAGCTTGGAACCAAGATCCTTAAGAAACCTTCTTGCACTCTCACCCCATGGGCCTAGGGTCTCAGACCCTATTGGAACGAAATTGTACCTTTGATCTAATTGCCTGTACTTGACTGACTTTTGTTTTTCTCTGTGTGTCGCTGCGGCTCCTGCCGTGCCGGCAGAGAGGGTGATGTATGTCGTTGCCAGGGTGGATACGCAAGTATAGTCCCATGCTAACTGCCTGCCACCCTTCCACGGACGCAGTGTGATTCCGTCTGGTCGGCCGGCAAAGCTAACAGAGTCACGGTTCAGTAGGTTGCGGGGCTCTCTCTCCGCTGGACACTGAGCAGAGGCAAGGCTTCTTTTAATGATGTCGTTGACTTCGTCGTGTCTAGTGTGCCAACCACCCGATTTTCCACAGTGCAGGCCATGCAATCCATATTCGTCAGCATCTGCCTCGCCGCAAATACACCTGTGAACAGTGTGGATAGGGGCAGCAAGGCGGAGAGCGACTGCAATACGGAGCTCCTGCGGATCAAGACGTGTGCCTGTCGCAGACATAGGGACTGCCAGAAGGAAGTCCCCTGCATGGGGAGCCTGCACAGCTGTGAGGCGTGCACGATCACTGGGGGTTGTTGCTGCCTCCAGCAAAGCTGTGGCTTCTTTGTCTGCAATGGGGCTGTCCCAACTGGATTGTTTCTTGGCTTTCGGCATGGCTGGTCTGAGTGCTGGGTCTGTCATGGCACCCCATTTCGTGTCACATTCCGTGTAGTGGGGGTCCTGTATCCCCGCTACATCACTCAGGGTGTCAGGTAGAATTTCCTTAACCAGGTCATCTGATGCTGAGGAGGAAGACAGGAAGGCTGGGACTGCAATTTGGGTGGCGGTGCGGACACCCAAGCCACCGAGCCTGACAGGAAGAGTGGCTTGTTTCCACTGGCATTCGTTGAGAGAGAGGTTAACAACTTTTTCCAGCATGGTCTTCAGTAGGAGGTCATACTCGTCAAGCTTTGGGTTGTTGTAAGATGGGGCGCACCTCAGAAAGTAGGTTAGCCTCGGAAGGGATAGGCATTTGGTGAGGAGATAAAAAGCATCGTGGGCATCGATGTCACCTATTCTGTCTTCCATCCTCCTAAGGTCTGCGATTTTCTTGTCGAGGATCTCCTCAATGGCGTTAGACCCGAGGGGAGCTCCAAGGAGGGTGCTGTTCTCGGCCCTAATGACATGGGCTCCAGGCAAGGCAGACCTTATTCTAGCTACGATGTCTGGGTTGGAGGAGACTACTTCACACTTGGAAGGGTTCAGGACGAGACCCAGGCTTACTTCTTGCTCCCTTATTTTCCTGATATCTGACAAGAGGTGGTCTACGGTGCCAGCTATAGTGCCATCATCCAAAAACCAGATGTTGAACTCGCTGGACAAGCTTTCGGTGATTTCTTTTAAGACTAAGCAGAAAAGAAGGGGAGCAAGAGGATCACCTTGCTGAACACCTTCACATGATCTGATTTCATGTTCACCAAAGAGCAGTTTTGACTCGCCACTGTAGCGAGTCTGTATATGTATACACTGTATATGTATATATATATATATATATATATATATATATATATATATATATATATATATATATATATATATCATGTATATATATATATATATCATGTATATCTTGTAACCATCAAATGCATAATAAAGCACAAAAAATAAAAAAGGAAGGGGGTGGTAGGAGAAAAGCACACAGAAACTGTATTGGAGGGGATCTAAACATTCCCTCTAATGCGTTATGCGTGGTTTCCTCCGAGGCTATGGGTCCCCCTTCTTCCAGCTAGAGGTGGTACTCCCTTTCATATATTAAAAAATATATATATATATATATATATATATATATATATATATATATATATAACTGAAAACTCACACCCCAGAAGTGACTCGAACCCATACTCCCAGAAGCAACGCAACTGGTATGTACAAGACGCCTTAATCCACTTGACCATCACGACCGGACAGTTCAAGTGGATTAAGGCGTCTTGTACATACCAGTTGCGTTGCTTCTGGGAGTATGGGTTCGAGTCACTTCTGGGGTGTGAGTTTTCAGTTGCATATGTCCTGGGGACCATTCAGGCTTGTTCGCATATATATATATATATATATATATATATATATATATATATATATATATATATATATATATATATATATATATATATATATATATATATATGCATGCAATATATACAAACCTCCATGTGAATTCGATTTCCATTACAAACAAGACAAAGTCCAATTCCCCCCAGTTATTCCATCTATTATAATTTTATTACCAATGAAGAGCCATATATATATAAAGATCATCCAATATGGTCAGCAGGCATCTATAGACACTATTACTGCCAGGCTTAGACTTGGCTACAAGTACCTGTGGGAGTTTGCACCACCTGCTGACGTAGACCTGACTAAATGTATCTATATATGACTAAATGTAAACTGTGAGTAGAATCATTCACATTGGCATTATGGAAGTGAACTCGCGGACTTCAGAGGTAAGTTTTTACAAATATTCAAGAAATGTGTAGGTATCTCATTCGAAATGATATACTATCAGAAATTTTAGTCAAATATCCTAGGTTTGCTTTCTATAAGTAGTTCATGTTCATTGTTCTGTAGTGTTACCCAGAGGACGGATGTAGTGAGCCAAGTACCTGTGTAAATTGCAGTGTATGGAGACTGTTTTGGCCCACTTCATGAACCAACTGTGCTATGAGAAGGACATTCATATAGATATATTAATTGTGTACCTAACTTCACAAGATTGTTACTTGCTTAGCTGAGTGAGCTGTTGGGGTTCAGTTCCTGAGCCTATTATGTGTCTCCATAAGAGGTTTCCACCACTGCCTACGGGATAGGTATGGGGTTCACTGCAGCCCACGGGATGAGTATGGGGACCACTACCGTCCACGAGATGAGTAAGGGGGGTCCACTATCGCCCACGGGATGAGTAAGGCGATCCATTACCCCCCAAGGGATGAGTATGGGGTCCACTACCCCCCACGGGATGAGTATGGGGTCCACTACCAACCACGGGATGAACATGAGGTGCATAATACTGTAAATTGTCTAAAAACATTCATCAAAATATCAGAATAACTTAAAAAAAATTGTCGAGCCATAGCGTTGTGAAGTGAATGCCTTAAGCGTCTGGGGTTTACGAGCCTGTGTAAGCGAAGTGATCACTGCATGAATTCCCTCAAGTAGAAAATATTTTGCCTGCAGCTGTGTCGCTGCAGGCAGGCTTGCTGGGAGGGTACCTGCTTGATACCTGCTTGATGCGGTTCTGGGAGTTCTTCTACTCCCCTACTACTTGGGGAGGACGAAGACAGCCTTAGGCGCCCACTAACAAGGGCGAAGTGCTAGTGAGCCGTAGATGTGTGTGTGTGTGTGTGTGTGTGTGTGTGTGTGTGTGTGTGTGTGTGTGTGTGTGTGTGTGTGTGTGTGTGTGTGTGTGTATATATATAATGTGTGTGTACTTGCTGTGATAGAAGCTGGTGGTGTCCTCACCAACATTATCGACACATAAAACATCGCTGTTTGAATTTCAGTCAGCACTGTTAGCAGTGTCTGGGTCAGGCAAATAGTGACTCACCATCCATCGCGTCGAATGCCAACCACCATAGCCATCACCACTACCATCGCTACCACCATCATAGCTGCCATCACCACTGCCGATATTACTGCAACTTCGGCAGGCAGCAGCAAAGTAAACGAAAATACCCCACTGTTCCATACTCATGCATCTCCTTAATTACAGCACGAAGCAACTAAGGGCCTGGTGATTTATGTGGTAAGAGCGTGTATGAAGAACTAACGCGGGCGTCCTTACAGCAAAAACCTTCGGGCAATATCAACTGGATTATGGACTTTACTGCGTGTGCTTTGTGAGCGTGTCTGGAAGCCCTGTGCTGAAATATACAACAGCGAGGAACGCTTTATGACCCAGCGAAGCAGCGCTGGAAGGCTTCGCGTTGTTCCAGTCTTCCTGTGTTTCCTCTGAGGGGAGTTGGGCTGAGGTTATCCTGGGAATCATAATGCGCGCTCTTGTTCAGGCTGGTCCAGGATAAACGAGACAATGTGAGGAATTATCGCCATTGTGTTTGTCTTAGAGTATAGTGCGTGACGGAAGGTTTGATAAAGACTGCGTGTGGCCAGAAGGAAAGGCCAGGTGTGTGTGGCGGTGTTGTGGTGCCATGTGTGTGGCGGCGGTGAGTGCGCCCCTGGTGTCATGCGGGTGGGCCAGCTGATCGCACGAGCGCCATGAGGAGCATTCTACGAGCATGGGCGTGGATTTGGGCGGCGTGCGCCTATTTCCACACGTTCCTCCCCTGCCACGCCCTCGCCGAACCCAAGGCTGCCGTATTTGGAGGAGTCCCTATCATCGACGAGAAAGGTAAGTGAATTGATGATACTTAAACGTATTTTGATGTTGTTTATTATTGTTGTGGTGAAGAGCAGTGTGGCGTCCCCGTGACACTGATGGCTATCATCAGGCCAGCCGACAGATTTATTGGTCGTTCAGGAGACACTTATGTACATGTGACGTGCACAAGTGTATGCCGAGGACAGGCTGTGGTAGGAGGCGCCGAGGACTTGCACACCCATGTGTGTGTGCTTGTCCTGAAGCCATCTCTGCTCCTGGTGGGCGGAGTACCGTATCAGGTCCTCGCGCTTCACTTTCTTCCGAGGTGCGGAGGGAGGAGGGAGGTAACCCCAGTAGTCGATCTCTCTGGAGGGACAGTGAGTCTATCCTCATGTTCTAGAAGGAAATAAATAAAGAGAAATAACTAATAAAACGTTGTCAAACATAAGTCTGAGCTATAAAAACACAGCTGGGTGGAGTGGCAGAGGGAAGGTCCAGCATCTCGGCATCTAGAGAGAGAGAGAGAGAGAGGAGAGGAGTACTCAGCCTCCGGGGTGACTCAGTGGCCCTGGGTCACTCTCAGTCGTCAATAACAATCAATATCTGTGCTGACCGGAACTTCCTACCCCCCTCCTCGGCTGGGGATAATGAGGGATTTTCCATACTGTAACACCAAGACCAATTGTGTGAAATAATTAGTGGGTGAGGGGCGCCTCAGTGGTGTTGGGGTGGGTTAAGTGGCCCTTCCTGGGTGTGGGCTGACCTATCCCTCCCGGAGTGTGGGCGTGCATAAATGACCTCAGATACTAACCTCTTGGTGGGTTGTACAATATGTGTAGGCAACCTGGTTGATGGCGTTCTGGGAGTTCTACTCCCCAAGCCCAGGAGTAGAAGAACTCCCAGAACCTCATCAACCAGAGCAGTATTTTTCATTCATTATCTTTGCTGCCCTGCTAGACCCACACCGTCGACAATATATATATTTTGTTAAGATTGAAAATGTTTTTATTGGCAGAAATATGCCAAATTTTATTGGCTCGGAAAAAAATGCATTCATTTATGAAAAACCTATATAAAGCCCATACACACATGGTGTCGGGCTGGACACAGTATAATGTATAAGGCTTATATTATTTTGATTGATACTTTTGTAATTATAAACCAATTGCAGTAACATATTCCAATATTTTATTTTAAATTCTAATTCTACAAATTACTAATAAAACTATGAACTGTGCTAAAGCACAAGCAATTAAAAGTTTAACAGTAGGCCAACTGTGAAACGATGTTGCCACTTAAATACATGTTAACAGTTATTTTATTTTCTTGCTTGTTGATGAATAATTTTGTTTTGAAATTTTGATTGTTGGTGCTTAATTTTGGAAAATTTAGTAGTGTGAACTTTAGCATCAATTAACAACATGGTAGTAGTGCTACATAGCCTTCCCAGCTCGGTGCCTTCTTTGATAATTACTTACTAACAACATAGTAAATTATTCATCATTATTAGCATGAAGTTAAAAGATAAAAGTAATTAAAGTTTTGTTGGAAGTTTATTTATGGATATTTCTTGCAGTTTAATCTTTGGTTATGAGTTTAAACCTTCGAAACCTTATTTGGGGAATATGAGCTAAGTAGTAGGTTCGTAGGGCTGTAGTGGGCTGGTAGGGCTGTAGTGGACTGGTAGCGCTGTAGTGGACTGGTAGGGCTGTAGTGGGCTGGTAGCGCTGTAGTGGGCTGGTAGGGCTGTAGTGGACTGGTAGGGCTGTAGTGGGCTGGTAGCGCTGTAGTGGGCTGGTAGGGCTGTAGTGGACTGGTAGCGCTGTAGTGGACTGGTAGGGCTGTAGTGGACTGGTAGGGCTGTAGTGGACTGGTAGCGCTGTAGTGGACTGGTAGGGCTGTAGTGGACTGGTAGCGCTGTAGTGGACTGGTAGGGCTGTAGTGGGCTGGTAGCGCTGTAGTGGACTGGTAGGGCTGTAGTGGACTGGTAGCGCTGTAGTGGACTGGTAGGGCTGTAGTGGGCTGGTAGCGCTGTAGTGGACTGGTAGCGCTGTAGTGGACTGGTAGGGCTGTAGTGGGCTGGTAGGGCTGTAGTGGACTGGTAGCGCTGTAGTGGACTGGTAGGGCTGTAGTGGACTGGTAGCGCTGTAGTGGACTGGTAGCGCTGTAGTGGACTGGTAGGGCTGTAGTGGACTGGTAGCGCTGTAGTGGACTGGTAGGGCTGTAGTGGACTGGTAGGGCAACAGAGGCTCTGTGGTGACATGTGACACAAGATAGGCAACTAGATGTAAAATGTCAGTGCTGTAATGGGTAGACATATATAGACCTAATGTGACACAGTGTAGCAGACAAATGGGTAGACATATATAGATTTAATGTGGCATAGTGTGGCAGGGTAATAGGGAAACATATAATGTGTTACGATCCATGCAAGCAAGCAGTCACCAACGGAACGTGCATCGCAGGGAGACCGAATCCACGATGAGGACAAGACTCAAGCCGTTGCCGGCCACCAGGTAAGTACTGTACTGACGAGAGTACAAAGAGTACCACGTCACGGTGGTCGTCGTGAAGGGTTACGCCTCTTACCGCGGTCCGCAGGTTTTTTCCCATCTTATTGGCACCATTTTTTGGCGATATGATGAGGATGAGCTGAAGCAATTTTGCAGCCGGGGAGCTCGAGAAGAATTCATAGTCGCGGGGGACTGGAATATTACAGGAGCTGCTGGTGGCTCACTCCTATCAATACCTTCCTTCCCCCTGGCTTGGCTTGTTCCTGTCCCCTCTCTCTCTCTCATTCTACCTTCATTTTTCCCCCTCCTTCATCCCACTACCTTTCTTCTCCTACCTCCTCCAACTCACTTTTTCCTTTTCCCTCACTTCCTTCATCCCCCCTACCTCTTCCTCCTTCCTGCCTCCTCCCTCTCTGCCTAACTTGCTCCACCACCTACGTCCACCTTTCGCATTTTCCTACACATTTTCAAGGAGGCATATTTTTCCTGTGAGAATAGCGATTATTTTCCCCCCTCCCTGCCATTAAAGTGTCCCTTCAATAGGGCCATTCGCAGGGCTGGCAACACTGGTCGTGTGTCAATACCCGCCTTACCCACACACAGCCACAAGCACGCCCCAGCTGCCCAAGCACGCCCCAGCTGCCCAAGCACGCCCCAGCTGCCCAAGCACGCCCCACTGCCCAAGCACGCCCCAGCTGCCCAAGCACGCCCCAGCTGCCCAAGCACGCCCCAGCTGCCCAAGCACGCCCCACTGCCCAAGCACGCCCCAGCTGCCCAAGCACGCCCCAGCTGCCCAAGCACGCCCCAGCTGCCCAAGCACGCCCCACTGCCCAAGCACGCCCAGCCTCACCAATATGATCCAAAACCACTTCCGGGATTGCTTCTCTATCCCTGGTGGGTTAGTTAGATGTAATTGTTTATGAACCATATTAAACTGGGTCGATCGTTACTCGTTTCGTTTCGGCCGCAGGTGAAGGGCGTGGTGTTGGCTGATGAGAGAGTAGTCTAACATCAGTCCACTGAGAGCCACTCATTGCGAACTACTGGTTCTACTCTCTATACCTTTTGTGTCTTTCTTAATCTTGTATTGCTATACAGACGAGTTTCGGTATCCCGTTCGTTACTTCATTTCGTTACTTCCTTCATTGCGTTACTGGTTTCATTTCGTTGCCGCTCTCGCTTCGTTGCGGTCAACATGTTTCCGTCTGCCTTTTACAACAGACTTCCTCTTGCCGGTGCCCCGCTTACATCAATACCTTCGTTAAAACTGTTATCAGCTCCGTTATTCGGTACCCCTCGTTATCCCTTATTTTGTTGTTAATTGCCCCATTTCTCTCCCGCCTTCGCTGTACCTACCCAAAGGGGCATTATTATTATCGATAACATCAATCCATTAGGTTAATATAAGGACAAGGCGTTGGGGGAGGGGTCGACAAGGAGAGCGAGGAGCAAAGGGGGAGAAGAAAGAAAATTGCAGAGAGAAGGACGATAAGGTAAGGAAAATAAGGCAAGGAAGATAAGGAAGAGCTTACGAAGGAGTTTTAGAAAGAGAATAAGCATGCGCATGGAGGAAGAGAGAAAAATTGAGGAAGCTGTGGAGAAGTAGCGTAGGACAATGATGACAGAGGAAGCCAGTACTGTGCCTAGACCCAAACTGGCTTCTGGGAACACCTGCCATTGTTTGTATAGCTGGCTTTGTGAAGGTGTTAGAGGAGCTTTGGGGGAGGGAGGGAGGGGGAAGATAAGGGGATTGAAAAGACGAAGGGAGGGGGGAAGAGGGGGGACTCTGGGAATGCCCTGGGGTAATACTCTTGGCAGTGATACAAAGCCGTTTCATAACGCTGATATTTTTGGTCCTCCTACCATGCTTAGCCCTCTTAACCTTCTACCATTCTTAGCCCTCCTACCATTCTTAGCCTTCTTAACCTCCTACCATGCTTAGCCCTCTTAACCTTCTACCATTCTTAGCCCTCTTAACCTCCTACCATTCTTAGCCATCTTAACCTCCTACCATGCTTAGCCCTCTTAACCTCCTACCATTCTTAGCCTTCTTAACCTCCTACCATGCTTAGCCCTCTTAGCCTCCTACCATTTTTGCCCTCTTAGCCTCCTATCATGCTTAGCCCTCTTAACCTCCTACCATACTTAGCCCTCTTAACCTCCTACCCGAGGCCCGAGACTGTTCAACACGCTTCCACTACACATAAGGGGCATAACTGGCAAACCCCTCACAGTGTTCAAGAGAGAACTGGATAAGCACCTCCAAAGGATACCTGATCAACCAGGCTGTGACTCATACGTCAGGCTGCGAGCAGCCGCGTCTAACAGCCTGGTTGATCAGTCCAGCAACCAGGAGGCCTGGTCGACGACCGGGCCGCGGGGACACTAAGCCCCGGAAGCACCTCAAGGTAGCCTCAAGGTAACCATTCTTAGCCCTCTTAACCTTCTACCATGCTTTGCCCTCTTAACCTTCTATCATTCTTAGCCCTCTTAGCCTCCTACCATGCTTAGCCCTCT